TCCATTTGATATATTTTCTAAACGATTCGTTTTTCATGCCATTATAGCACTCTTCGCATGCTTGCATTAATTGCAGCTTTGAAATTCGTCCCGTTATCGCTGTATATAACGGTTGGTTTTCCTCTTCTGGCGATAAATCGCCTTAACGCCATTATCATTGACGCTGGTGTCAATGAGGCTGCTAACTCCAGATGTACTACTCTGGTGGTCAGACACTTGAATAAAACACCCCAACGTTTTTCGTGTCGTCTTCCTATAGACACACTCAGAGGTCCGAAATAATGTACGGCTGAACATGTAAAGGGTAGCTCATGATGAGCTATTCTCTCCAGAGGAAGGTTTCCTTGAGGTACGTTCTGCGGCTTTGACCTGTATGTCCTGCACCACTGACAGTGATGTGACACACTTCATACCACGTTACGTAAGTTCAAGACATAAAATTTTTGGTTCACCTCATTCATCACCGTTTGGTGATTGGCATGTCCAAAATGATGATGAACTTCTCTAATCATCATTTCAAAGATTTCATGTTTACCGTTTAATACGACAGATTTTCTACTCTCCTCAGTCAAATTAGACTTGAAAGGTTGAACTTCTTTCAACTCTTTTGCCTACTTTCAAGCATTTTATTTCCGAATGGAAACATTCGTCTTGAACAAACTTCCAAATTAATAATTCAGCTCTTTTTAAGAGCGTTATGTCCAACGCGCCATCGGGTCCTTTAACCTACTTTGCTAAATTTTCGTTGGAACACATAACCGACTTTTCGGCTGTGTTGTCAGGTCCTTTAACCGACTTTCTTAAACTCTTGAATTTTTCTACCGCTTGTAAGGTGCGTGTAGTTGCCCCAAGGAATTTTTTAAAGCTGCTAAATCGTCCGTACTCGGGTAGACTTAACGGCTCTTGCTTTCTTAGCGTATTTACGCTTTGCAGTGATTTTTCTTCACCCGTTTTTAAGCTATTTATGGTGTCCACTTGTTTGGGCCATAAATTAGGACTTGCCCTGAGGAATTCAGGTCCTTGAAACCAGCGATGACTTTCATCGAAGGTGGAAGGAAAACTTCTAGTGGCGTCGTCTGCCACGTTTTGTGACGTCGGTACCCATCGCCATTCACATGGCTTACTGTGATCTTCGATCTCAGCCAATCGATGAGCAACGAATGGTTTAAAAGCGCGAGAATCTTACTTAATCCACGCTAACACTGTACGTGAGTCCGTCCAAAATATTCGTTCGGATATCTCATACTTGCTCTCTCCCTTAACTGATGCAGCTAATCGGCTGCCCATAAGAGCTGCCTGCAATTCAAGCCTTGGAATGGAAATTGGCTTCAACGGCGCTACTCTTGCCTTTGCGGCGATCAGCGTAATCCGCCTTTCTCCTAGCTCGTCCGTGGTGACGTAATACACCGCGGCGGCGTATGCTTTCTCACTAGCATCCGTGAAAGTGTGTAACTCCCCCCCTGCCGACACCTTCAGCAACGGGTCTAGGTACTTCTAAATTACCTAATTTCTTCACTTCCGTTATCCATTTACAAAATAACACGTGTAATTCGTGTGGAACTTGTTTATCCCAAGAGATGCCTGTCCTCCATGCTAGCTGGATTAGCGACTTCCCTTGAATCGTTATGGGTGATACGAGTCCTAAAGGATCGGAGACTGACATCACAGCGCTCGTTATCTCCCTCTTCGTAGGCGGTCGTAAACCTTCTATCACCTCTTCCGGTGTGTTACGAAGACATATGGAGAAACTTATTATATCTCGTTTGATATTCCAGACCAAGCCTAAAGTGCGTTCTGTGTATCCCTTATCTCCCAGCGAAGCACTGTCGCTCTTATATTTATTTTCCATTTTACATAAAACCTCGGGTCGGTTACTAGCCCATCCCCTTAGTTGATAAGAAGCACGTTTATGTAATTCATACATATCGTTTACTATCTTTTTGGCCGTCGTCACGTCGGGGAATGCCTGTCAAGATAGTCATCCATATAGAAATTGCTTTCCGTCGCGAAAGCTGCTTCTGGATAGAGATGTGCGTTATCTTGCGCATTTCTATTCTTCACATATATGGCGATGAATGGCGATGATGCTGCTCCAAATATGAGTGACGTCATTCTATACTTTTCCGGTGGCGCGTCACGATTGTGCCGCCATAAGAATCGAAGGCTGTCCCTGTCTTGCTCGCGAATTTTCACTTGCATTTCTTTAATGTCTGCCATTACTGCCACGCTTCCTTCTCTGAACCGTAGCAGAACGCCAAATAACGACTTCAATAAGTCCGGTCCAGTTAACAATGCATCATTGAGACAACGTCTTCCCGTCCTTGCGGCGGCGTCGAAAACTAGTCATGGTTGATCCGTCATCCAGAAGAGCTGTGGTCTTGACCTTTCCTCTAGGTCCGTAGAACTCGACCGGTATAATCTTTAAATATGCACATGCCAGTGCATTTACTGTGCTAACAGTCGTAATCTGGCCTTCTTTACCCCCCTCGTCCCCTTGCGGCGAGGTATTTTTATTGGGGTATCGATATAGCATTCGATGATGTGCCATTCTACATCCCTCTACATCACATTTTTTCACCCTACACTCTAACCTCCTATGGTTAGGTGACAAACATTGGAAACATATATTCGCCTTTTTAATTGCTTCCCATTTTTCGCGATTATTCATATTCTTAAACTTGTAACAACTCACTATGGAATGTTCCTTGTTACATATAACACAATTGCTTGTTACCCGACTTACAGGCTTATCTTGGGTTATCATAACCACTTGTCGGTCCTATTATTTCGGCGCTCACAACGCTTACTCTTAAAACGGTTGCGTACAGACCCCTTTGCAGTGTGTATGGCTTGCTTCCTGATTTCAGGACGTTTCCGTTATTCAGGCACGTTTTCATTGCTTAATGATGCTCTAAATTGTTCGCTCAATGAATTCAAAAATTTGGCCATCTTCTGCAGCCCAGGCTCCATGGGATATTGAGTCCGATATTCGAACCATTTAAATTTAATCATAGTTTTAAGCTTCTCCACTATACAGCTTACCAACTCCAGTGAGTATAAATACTGTGGTTGCTTCAGTGCTTGTATTACAGCTACCATGTTCGTAATGCGACTTGCAAAAGAACCTATATTTCTGCAATCTTCTGCCAATCTTGGCATACGCTTTTTTTTTCTCGATTTCGGCTAGAATGAGCATCTCAACCCTACCGAATCTTCTTTCGAGAGCGTTCATTATTTCTTCAGGTTCACAAAAAGTAAACAACAATGACTTGACCGCTTCCTTAGCGGTGCCCTTTAATGCCCTCCTATGGTGTGCGACATTCTGCACTCCTGAAAATTGGCTTCTTGTGTCTTCAAACACCGTTTTGAAAATGATCCATTCACTCGGGTCTCCATCGAAGACCGGTGATTCCTGGAGGAAATGAAGCTAGGAAGACTTATCTTTACCCGCTATCTTATGCACTCACAATCGCGTTGGTCAATTCTGACACCTCACACGCGTGTGCCTTCTGTGCATTTCCTAGGTTGCGCTCGACCTCCGCCCCTTTGCGGCGTGATACCTTACACGCTCCCTTATCAGCAGTATCTCGCTCGAGTCGATTTCCTCTTCCCGATTGAGACGTGCCAACTCCAATTGTGACTTGGCCAAAGCAGCAGCTGCTTCTGTTCGTTCGAGCTCTGAGCGTTCGAATTTAATGACATTTGACATACTTTTTCGACTATCGTTTCGCTCCTGGATGTAACGGATTTCTGTGCGGTCTGCGTACCAGTGGTGTCCGTCCTGTTGCTGGTTGCCACGGACGTCCCTGAGTCTCACGTGCCTGGGCACGTATCGGTGGTGGCCCCACTTGAAGGAGTTGCCCCACTCGAAGCAGTAGCTGTGGTCGCTCCAGATGATTCCGCCTCTTTAGCCTTTCTTGAGAACCCTGTCCTTATCCTGGTTCCCTCGATCCTCTCGGTCTGGTCTTGTGCCTTCTTCATCTTGCAGGAAGGTGATTGTTGGCCTACGGTCCCTAACTGTCCCTACGGTCCCTACGGTCCCTATGGTCCCTACGGTCCCTATGGTCCCTACAACCCCAACCTACAACCCCAACCTACAACCCCAACCTACAACCCCAACCTACAACCCTTCTACACCCCAACCTATCCCCACTACCCCTCCCCCCCTTTAACTCCCAACCCTACAACCCTACTCCCACCCTAAAAGCCCTGTCAGCCCTATCAATCCTGGACGGGGGCCTACCGTGGTGAGTCGTCCAGAGATGGAGTCGTGCAGGATTGGAATGGAGGAAAGTTTTAGGAACTGTCCCGCCAAGGAATATGGCGAAACAGTCGAGCTAGTAGTGCAAGCGCAGTCTCGCTCGAGAGAACTGCTCCACCCGAAGGTGTTGTGCCAGAGCCCGACCCTTGGCACCGTTAGGGGGTCAGGATGTATGCTGTGCTCGCCGCCCAGTTGCCGGTGACACCTCGTCCAGGCGCCCTCCTCCGGCCGCGATGCAGTCACGTGCCCACACGAGCACCCTCGCCTGGCTGCAGCAGCGGTGGATTCTTCTTCTTCTTTCTTGCACCCTTGCCAAGCAACAGTGAGTGCGTTCGCAATGTAATGCATCAGCATATCGTGAAGTAAAAAAATTATAACAAAGTAACGGAAATCTTTAATGAAATGAAGACACGGCTTAAAGAACAAGCATCCAAGCCAAAAAATCTTAATAAAAAAAGAAAACGTCACTGGAACAGTAAAAGTGAGATTTTCCAATACAATAAAATATTTATTTAGAAAATAAATTATTAGTTACCCTGAGTTACCCGACCCGATAGCTTAAGAGATAACCCTGCTGTGAATTTATCAATACGTGCAAAACAGCTATAAAAATATAGAAGTAAAAGAACTATATTACGTTATATTTACGAGATCAAACAGCTTTTGACTAAGTGATTAAATTATTTTTGATTTTGGTCTTTTGGTTAAAATTGCAAATTAACAAGGGAAGTAATTCAAAATGAATGAAGAAGAAATTAAAATTTTATACAGCGATGATAAATCGAAAGTGTCTCAAATTCTAGATTCTTTTTTGAAAAATGTAAGATATGCATAACTTTCAAAGCTATTTTACAAAAGACAATGTATAACAATTTTTAATCAATTCGCTTTCAGAATGAAGATGTATTTATTTTTCCGGAATTATCCAAAAATAACCATAGATTAATGCTTTGGGATGTGTTATTCCGGCATATTCAAGAAAAATCATCAGAACATCTTCACGGTTCATGTTTATCTGCACTCAGAATATTAAGGTTTGTTTTATGTTAGAGTGTTTAGCTAGAAATAATCAAATAGTTGATTAGGAAATCTGCTTAGCTTTCCTTATTATATTATCATTGATCTTGTAAAATCCACATTATAAATACCATAATTTGTCATAGAAGAGATTTCTGAGTGAGTTCCTTGGTCTCATATTGTATATTATGGTCTTAATAACTCTTTTCTGTAGTAAATATAAATGTATTTACAATATTAGCTGCTGATCCTCACCACAATCTATAGGACATCATATTATTAAATGAAATAGATCAATCTTTCTGAAACTTTATATATAGTAGCATTCAGTCTCTACAATGGTTTTAAACTGAAGTCTCAATTGTAGGTCAAGAAAAACTATTATTTAAGTGATAGATTGTTCAACTTATAATATAAGTAGTGTCTTGCATTGTAAGCAAATTATTATAATTTTTTCGAAGTTTATAAGAGAGCAGTTTAGTTTATTTACAGAAAAGCGCCATTGTTTTCATTTCCTATGCATAAAATTCTGTGTAAATAAAGAAGAATTTAAATTTAATATTTTTAAATTTAAAGATCACTTGCTATAAAGTGTACCTATTTTAGGATAAGGTAAAATATTTTAACTACCACAGGTTCAGTTTCTGGGTTCTTTTTTTATATAGCTATCTTTTAGAGAATGGCTAAATGCATCTAACACCATGCAAAATTAAAGCTGAAATAAGTAGGTATTTAATTAAAGCATCAAAAAATAAATAATTAGAGAAAAATTATAATGATAATATTATACAGATTCATTGTTACATAGTGCAACAGTTTCATTTATAACCAAAACCCGTATGCAGAAGATGTGCCAACAGTGTCATTCATAGATTGAATTGTTGCTACTGAGCGAACAAACACAGGGTTAGTGAAAGTGAGGGGGAGTGATGATCAGTAAATCTATTGTGATGATACATGTTATTAAGGTTAACTGAGTTTATTGAGACACAATATTGCCTAAATGCCTTATAAATAATATAATTTTAAGTGCTGAGTCACCATTTGCTCTGTGGCAAAGGAAAACATAGTGAGGAAACCTTATCGGAGAACCATTTCAAGGATATGTGAAGTCTGCATAAAACATGCATCAAAAACTTAAAAATTGCATAATATACATCCTAGGACATACATAGGTTTACATTTGATAAAAGTTAAGTACGCAGCAGTGTTAAAAATGCAAGACGTCTGGTACTGCAATGGGCAATGCACCTACCAAGCATGACAAAAGCAAACCTTCCCTAAAAGACAAAAGACCAATGTCCACCCAGCTGGTGTCCGATAATTGTTAAGCTTGGTAGACTTTTGCAATACCGGATGTTTTGCACCAGTGTGGCTGCTACCCATCGCCAGTCTGGGTATTTTACACCTGTCTATATTGAGATAGTATATCTACCTACCACCATTTATTCCTAAAAATTTTTTTGCATATCCCAATATACATAAATGCTCATAAATTTTATTGTAATATTTATGTTTAAAATGTGTAACAAATGATTGTGGTTATTCGTATTCAATTTCTTTTAGCCGGGATAAATCTGAAGTAGATGTACTGATTTGTGAAAAGTGGATTATAACTTTGATTGAAAAGGCAGGTCTTTATAATTTTCTTAACATTGATGACGAGTCTTTGCCAGCTGAGATAATACCCAAGAAAGAAGAGGCTGTTGAGGCGTTAAAATGTTTATGCAATCTTGCTTTGAATAGTGAAGTGGCAAGAGCACTTTGTGCTCATACTGCGATTGCGCAAGGTTTGGTGGCAAGGCTGAGATCTTATAAAGAAACACCCTATAAAGATGATATAATGTTATTGGACATGAAGTTGCTCTTTATTTTAACAGCTCTAAGACAAGACATAACTTCAAAGATCAAGACTGATTTGCATGGAATGGATTATCTTATAAGTTGCACAAATGAGATAGTTCTGGAAGCATCTCTTACATCTGATACTGCAGGTGCTTCTATGAGTGGTGCTGAAACTGGAGAAGACCACCACTGTTACCTTCATGTAAGTAATTGATGGAGTTATGTCTGAATTACTTGATAATTACTTTTTTATTTCGGAACTCTTACTTTTTAGGATAATCAACATGCAATTGTGTGTGAAATATTAAAAATACAATTCAATTTAACCCTTCAATCGAGTGCTGATGAGCAAGTTGATGAGGCTGAGGAAGCTATGTATTTAAAACTTATGCCAATACTCACAACCCTGTTGAGTGCTCATGCATCTTCTGAGCAAAAATTGATGGAGCTACGAAGTAATATTGTAAATTTACTGTTGAGGTATACTTTAGTTTAAATATTTATAACATTTATAAATTTTTTCATTCATAATAATATTTCGTATTTGATATTGTTTTAGTGTGCCATTGAAATTTTACCCCTTTTTAACACCGCAAATAAATGAGGGAGAGAAATCACAATGCATGTATGATGGTAAAAATATGGATGCATTGCAGTCTCTGATTCAGTTCTTGATGTATCGTTTAACAGTTACAACGGTGAGTTTCAGCACCATGCCTCTGACAAGAAGAATTTGTTCAAATCAGTTGGTTCACAGCTCAGACTGCTAATCATGGAGTTTCAGTCAGTTTGATTTGTCTCCAATCAGATATGTGACTTTTCAAAGTTCTTAAAAAGGATTTTCTCTTATTTTATATTAGTAGCTTGCTTGTAGTGATGCAAACCTAAATTTGTCTTTCCATCGGCACAGATTCTTACTTTAATAAACTAAGCACAAAACATTGAGCGAATTATAGTGTATGTTCAATCAAAAAACTAGAACTCCATGGTTAGGAGGGCTGGAATGTTTTTAAAAACTAACAAGCATATTAATTTCTAGAGTACAAAAAATCAATACGAGAATTTGTCCCCGATTCTTACGGTTTTGAACAAGAGTGCCCGTAGCTGCCGAGCTCACCGCAAGTATCTCCGCCAAGAAGTGTTGCCACCATTGCGCGATGTGTCGCGACCTCCCGAAAAGGGTTCCACACTGCGAAATCAATTGTGTAGATTGCTGACAACTCCAGTTACATCAATAAGAGATTTAGTTGCAGAGTTCTTATTTATTTTGTGCAAAGAGAAAGGTAAGGGACACTTTTCTTTCTTTCATTCTTTTATTTTAACAATTTATAAATTCTTGTTCTTTTATGTCTGATTATTCAGTGTTTTTTATATGTGGTAGAGCCATGCTGCAGCTATATTAGTATAGTTGTAGCACAAACGGGTCAGCTCGACTGGGGAAGGACCACACTCTCACTGAATACCAACGTAAAATAGCAGCTTACACTGCTGTGTTTCATGTGGAGAACTGGAGACCATTTTTACTGGAAAAGAGCCATTCTATCTTAGTCCTTACGGGTGACAACGCATCTGCATTTTGATTCGTTTTTGAAACACTCCAATTGAGATTGTACTCCTATTTCTGAAGTTGCCTAAAATAGATGAAGGATGCAAACCAAAGAGATTTAAATATATAGGTATACTATAGAGTGGACATAGGGAACAATTGCATACAAAAACTGTGAGCTCGCATGTGTGTGATGCGGTCTAGCTAAACATAGCAAAACTACTAACTTATAGATAGAAAATGCATTCATTATTAAAAATGTAACTTTTATAGTTGGGCGTATGGTGAAATATACGGGCTTTGGAAATGCGGCTGGACATCTGGCTCAGAAGGGCCTTTTAGCCGGAGGCCGGGGGAATGTTGAGTACTCATCTAGCAGCGAGGACTCCGATACCGAGGAGTATTTAGAGGCTCAACCACATATCGACCCCGTAGTGGGTTGCACTCGACCGCCCCGCATCAATCCATTTGAAGGCATGACGGAGGAACAGGTGTGATTTATTTAGTTGCTTTTGTTAATGACATTCTCGTTGTAACTTATGGTGGAGGCGTGTAAGAATAGAATTGGATAGAATGATTTTCGTTCAATATAGATTATTACATAATACTTATAGAAAGTAATTTTTTTATTTACCTTTGGTTCGGAAAATACCTCTGTCCTGGGAAGAACCAGCAAGAAACTCAGGCGGAGTTTTTTTTAAACATATTTCACTTTACAATAATTTGTTTGTACAATTTTTAGATGAATTTTAATAGAACCAGCATGGTGGCGATCAATCACCGCATTCCCAGGGTTTTTTATTTATGTATTCTTTGGTATTATAATAACCCTTTTGTATAATTATTCTTTAATAAAACATTTAAACTTGTTTATTGACAAATTTTTTACATTTTCTGGGATTTTGTTGTGAAAGCGTATATATTGCCTCATAAATGAATTACTAATCCTGTAGAGTCTAGTAACTGGTATTACAAGCTTATGTTTGTTCCTAGTGGTTAAAGTATGAATATCTTTATTCTTATCAAAGCTATTTATGTTTTTATGTACATACATTACATTTTCATAAATATATTGCGATGCTAAAGTTAATATGTTTATTTCATTAAATTTTTCTCTAAGGGACTCTTTACAATTTAAGTTATAAATCGCCTGCACGGCTCTCTTTTGCAAGAGAGGCTTAAGAGAATCAATTACCATTTTGTCCTGTGGGTGTCACAAAAGGAGACTATGGAAAACGTCAAACACATAGAGAGTAATGGCGGTATAATAATCTTCAAATTCTTCCTGCAGCGGGAGAGACCAATATATAGAGGCTTGATAATGAAGAAGAACTTCTATTAGTGTCAGAATCTTGATAAAACCCATATCATCCCGTTGGTGTCATAAGAGGTAACAGGGGGAAACAAATCAGGAGATGGGCATCAGTGTCTTCCTAATAACAACTAAAAATAAAAAACTGCGGTTGCCAACCCGCTCGCGGCTACTATGACAAATATCCCCCCTATGAGGCAATCTATGGGGGAGGCTCTTAATAGGCTGTAACGGTAACGGTAATTTTAGAGTTTTCTGTGTTGACATTTTGTATATATATATCAAATATTACACCTCAAAGAAAGGATTCTTTCGGTGTGAGGTGTAAAAAAAATCGCGCGAAAATGTTCCAAACACAGCTCCATTTTTTAATGAAACACGATATTTCATTAAAACTCGTCAAAAAATATGGATGGAATTTTGAAATTGGAGCGATCATATTCTTACTTCTAAATAATTGTATTTTCAAAATAAATTGAAAGTGGCTAGCATCTCATACAAAACATTTTGTCAAGGAAAAAAAAGAGAAAGTTTTACGAAAAACTTTCTGTGTCGCCTGTCGTAAATTTCAATTTAGTTTATATAGACAGATTTTGGTTCGATACTCGATAAGGTTATGCTTATGTGGTCTGTTTGTTATCAGATACGCATAAGTTGTTAACTGCAAAAGCTAATATGATTATAACGCATCGATGACATCGTATTTACGTTTGGAATATTTTAATTGTATATTAAAAATAAAAAGTACTAAAGATTTCTAAAAAAAATTGCATATTCGCAATATTGAAAATAAATAAGGGAATGTTTTGGCATCCGGAATTAAAATATGCGTGTTTTTTTTGCAGAAAGAATATGAGGCGATGAAGTTAGTAAACTTATTCGACAAGATGGTGTCTAAAGGAGTTGTAAAACCGGCTAGGGTGGGTGCTGACGGTCGGCCGCAGCCCGTGGAACACGTACTGGAGATGCGAGAACATCCACCGAATAGACCACAGTCGTAAACAAATATTTATTTATCTTAATTGTGCCATTGGTTTAAAGTAAAATTTTGATTGAGATATTTGCCTAACCGTTTGCGATGTTCTGTCTTGAAATATTGATTATTTAAGTAGATACTCAAAGTTATAATAGATTACTGTCAAATTTTGGAACGAAGTTCTTTATCGGACGGTACTAATTTGGCGGATGGGGGCTAGGCGAGATTTTTCTCATGTGTAAGATTTTTCCATCACAATCCCTTCTGGACGTAGTGTAGACGGACTTGGTGGCTATTAGGAAGGGAGATGGAATAATATCCATCTCCCTTGCACTTACCTTGCCATGAAAGAAATATTATTTTATTTTAAATGACGCTTCATTTTAATAGACGCTAGTAATTCATATATTTGTATTTAATAAAGTTAATCAATAATATAATTCGTTTATCAATAATAATATACTACGAAAGGAACTTCGTTCCAACCGAGTGTTCCACGACACTCACGCATGTTTTTTAATTAATATGTTATAATTTCGTAAATAAGACATTTAAAAAATAGTATTATAATATTACTTACGTATTGAGAATAAATTAGGGATTGAAAAGGTTCCAAAAATACCGCTAATGAACTGGTATTATACCAGTATACGACCGAAATATCTTCTAACTTGTTTGACTTTATAGAAAAATAGTCACAAAATTATATTTTCTGTTAAAACAACGTAGAAATAAAAATGAAGCTAAATTATAACACTACTGAGACTTTCCGCATCGATTTAGGAGAACTTAAAAAAAATTGGTACAAATTTGAAAACGTTATCTTAAAACCGATACTGAACTTTAACGGGCCGATAAAGATAAAATCGGAACCGTATTGTAACAGGCAACCTTTATTGAAATTTTATATGAAGAATCCTTATAAAATTTGAAACCGTTTCAATCTCTGGTATAATTTAAAGAACTAGTAATTATGATAGTTACTGCTTCCATATCTTATGTATAATATGTATTCTATTAATAATTTCACTAAATAATGCAACGATATACTTTGACAAAACAGAACAGTAGTAACACCACATGAGTAAAGAAATCGTAGCTTGAGGCACGTGTGTGCGTGAGCACTGGCAACTGCTTTAAACCGGCTTGGCCAGTGCTCAAGTTCAGGGTTGTGTAAAAAATTATAAGTGTCAAATTTTGTTTTTTAAAGAATAATTGGTATCAAATGAAATATAAAAAAGTATAAATATGGTTTACGTAGATTTAAATCTTATCGAGGTTGCCGCAAGAGGTACCGGTGATTTTGTAAATATAATAAATAATTTGGTTGATTTCTTAAACTCAAGTACACTGCGATCTCCTAATAAATATAAAAGAGCTTTTCGATGCGATAGTTATCAAATTGAGTTTTTAGAAGAAATGCTAACATTTTTCAGGAAACTAAAATCAATAAGAAGTGATAGGCAGAAATACGTTACAAATAGCATGAATTTCATTCACGGATTTCAAGTGTCTATAAAATCTTTAATAAAACTTCATCAAGAATTAAAATCAGAATTATTTAAATTAATTTATATTTACGAGACGTCTCAATAAAGATTGTCTCGAAAATTTCTTTGGAAAAGTCAGACAGGCGGGTGGTAACTGCCAGGAACCAACACGTCGTCTAGTTAATATTGCTTTTAATAAGATATTTATAACCAATATCTTAGGGAAACCTCAAAATAATAATTGTGGATATGATTTCGATATTTTACTTATGAAACCACACGGTTGTCGTATTTTAATACACCATCACTGCAACCTGACAATGTTACTGCCCCTGTGTTAACAGTAAGAACAATTGATTATCTATTTAATTTACCAGAAATGTGTCGGAATATTGTATAGAAATTGTTGTCTTGAACACCACAAATGTGAGAAAATAAAACTGTACGTTAATAGATCTGAATAATCTATAAATATGGGAAAATATTCTTTTTCTAGCCATTACAAGAATTTTAATAAAGATAGTGTTCAATCGGATTTTTTAATAATACTTCCTGACAATTTTATCGCGTTTGTTGAATTGCTTGAGCGAAAATTTCGCGAACATTTTGACTTGGAAAGAAACATTGTAAATATTGGTAGTGAAATATTAAAACGTGTGCAAGATTTTATATTTGTTATGAAATGCGAGTGCTTTCCAATAGATTATTTAAAAAAAACTACATTAAATTTAGAATTTACCGTTTAATTAAGAGCCACAACTAATTGTTGAAGAACAATAATTATAAAAGTAAAACATTTAGAAAATGGAGTTTATAAAAAAATATTATATCATAAGTATCTATTAAAATGCTGATAAACGTTTTGTTTATTTAGTTTTATCCTCCTGTGCCAACCCTACCAAAATATGTAAAAATTTGACAGCTCCTTAGAAGGTTTGCCTCTGTACAGTTTCTTTACTCATGTGGTAATACTATAGGCACAGAGTTTTAATGATCGCTCAACTAGGTAAATAGGGTCAAGCATAAAATACACTTTAAATTTAGCTTTGTTTTGACTTTATAGTTTTGTAAAAATCATAAACACATGTGTATGTGTTACTATTTATTTTGAATAAACGTCTTATTTTTTTAGTTTCTCGAGAGAGCTGCGGTAGCTCAGTGCCTGACCTCAAATTTAATAGTTCGCAAGCAACCCGGGTTCGATTCCCGAAAATTGTTAATTGCAATTTTAAGTGTTAATTTGCCACGTGGTCGGAAATATGAAGTGACCACGTGAAAGAAAATATCGTGGACAAACCTGCATGTCTAAGTAATAAAATATTTTGAGGACATGTGAAGTCCGCGAACACGCAGTGAAGCAGCGCGGCGGAGTAATTGCTTCATAATCCTCACAGAAGTGAATGAAAGCTTGTGCCCAAATGGAAGACTAGAGGCTGTAAATTAAAAGATTTATTTTAATTTCAAAAATTGAACATATGTGTTTAAATATTTGTACAAGTCGCGGCACGTAAGTCTAGCGCTGAACGAAACGTGGAGGGGACGCGCACGAATTGAATTGCGCGAATGCGACTGGAGCGCCAATCAGCGCGTGCGAACGATACGCACGAGCCAATCAGATCGACTTATGCGCAATAAGCCAATCAACGCGACTTATGCGCAATAACGGTCACCGCTAGACTTTCGTGCCGCTACTTATAATGTAGTTATAATTGTAGATGATGTAGTTATTGTACCATTTTAGTATATATCACTTTTGCAATTTCCACAATTAAAACACTTGTCCGCTTTGATAGAATTAAATTATTTCCGATAAAATTTATAATCTATAATATTCAAATATATTTGGCTGCTGTTTGTCTTTGTCAGACTTTAAAAGCTTCTCATGATCCATCGCTAAACATACCTATGTCTTTTTCTAATTAGGAAAATTTTTCTAAAACTTGACGCTTGGCAATCGGATTGACGATCGTTCGATGCATAGTAAACGCACAAATTAAAAGTAAATGGGCCAGTGAATAAAACTAAGTTTAAAATTTTATATTAAAGTATTTAATATTTTATATAATGAAAGCCGTGGTACCTCAGATGGTTAGCGCTCGCTGTAAATTTCACAGTACGCGGGCAACCCGAGTTCGATCCCCGCCGGCGCCAATGAAATTGTTAATTTTAAGTAATGATTTATCACGTGCTCGGCGGTGAAGCAAAACATCATGAGGAAACGCATTGGGGCAACGCGGCAGACATTTCCTTGCCCTAAAACCCTCTCTTAAATTAGGGGAGGCCTATGCCCAGCTGTGGGACGTATATAGGCTGTAAATTTAACTTTTAACTTGCCATTAATGAGCCGTTTAGGCTCGGATTATGAGCGGTCTCTGACCTCTTGGAGACAGTAAACATTGTTGAGTGTGTTAGATGTTATAGAGTGAAGTGTAGAGGCGTTAACATTAATTACACTGTCCAATTGAAGTTAGTAATTAGTTCAAGCTCCACTCGAGTTCGAATTAAAAAATCGTGTGTGATCGGTTAAAATGACTGCGCAAAATGCGCCTTTCCAAAATTTACAGCTCTCAATACACATGCCAGGCGTCGAACCGATCTGAATATTACTGACAGATGAGAGACAAGATGGCTTTTTTGTGTCAATGGAATGCCAAGTAATTCTGTCATATACGAGAACTGTAAGGGTATGTTCCGATATACACTGCGAGCACTGCTCAGTGACTGGTGATAAATACGTTCCTTTATGGACTGCCAGTATTTGCCGCAGTACCCTAGGGAAATATATGACGTCATAAATCGCCGCCATTTTGTACTGTGAGCACTGGCGCTTTCGAGGTAAATCAAAGTAGTACTGAGAACACCTGTTCTCAGTACTACTTTGATCACGTGATCAAAAAATATAACAGCCCCTAGAGATTTTACAGCTTCCACGAATGATTTTTATTATTATTAATTAATATTTTTATTCAAATTAACTCTCTCGGACATTAAGTTTTAAAAGCAACAACATTCAAATAGTAATTTTTCTGAAAACAGTGTCGAAAAACGGGGATGAAAGTATGCTGGACTGCCTTCCGTTTTAATCAGTAACTAGTATAGCGAACTAAAAAGGTAGGAGTCTCAGTATACTGAATTGACGTTACACCTTACTGTGGCCACAGTGTATATCGGAACCTACCCTAAAACTGATAGGCTGGTGGATCCTCCTACGTTGCCATCATTCGGTGAGTGACGTTGTCGATCTTGCTTCCAAGTAGTAAATGTAAACAATTGCTATTAAATAAAATTTTAATAACCGTCATTTAAAACAAGTGTTTATTAATATTAAAAAACCTAAATTATGTGAAATTAATAATAATAAATTATTAAAATAATAAATAATATTTAATTAGTAATTTATTAACCTATAGTTTTAGAATCTTAAGACTTTTATATGTAAATATTTGATGTAATAAGCAAATACCTAGATCGTGAATAGGCGATAGCATTGTATGATCGTGTTAAACAAACGCATTGATGAAATTAAGTCTATTTG